GGAAGGTCAGTAGTTCAGCAGTTCGAGACCCGGGTGCCACATGATGGAGTGAGCTCCCATCTCTAGTTCCAGCTCCTGCCAACCTTTAGCAGTTCAAAAACAAGAAATTGCAAGTAGATAAATAGGGACCGCTTCGGTGGGAAGGGAACAGCGTTCCGTGCGCCTTGGTGTTTAGTCATGCTGGCCACATGACCACGGAAACGTCTTCGGACAGCGCTGGCTCTTCGGCTTTGAAACGGAGATGAGCACCGCAACCCTAGAGTCGGACTCGACTGGCTTTCGAGCAAGGGGACCTTTACCTTTTACAACCCGGGGTGGATTCAGGCTCACGGGTGGCGCCCTCCGCACTGACCCATCTTGGCACACACACCCCTTTCCAGTCCATTTGAGTTGTCGGCCTGTCTGACCAGATCTACAGTGCAGGTTGCGGCAATATGAAAATGTATTCATATGATAACACAATAGACTGTGTACAAACTGTGTACAAACGAAGCCGAGCTTTTTACAAATCTTCATTCGTTTTTCTTTTCACCCTTTCCCCAACTTTGTGGTGCCCCCTTTGGCCCTGGTGCCCTAAGCACGTGCCTAGTCTGCTTCATGGTGAACCCGCCCCTGGCCTCAGTAAATGCCCCTTGGATTGCAGCCCGGAGCTCTGGTAGGTGATGATGGATGGATGCAAGGAACAGGAGGAGCCTGGGGAGTTCGAGCCCTTTACTTGGGGGCCGATTCCTATCAATTCAGTGGAGCTTGTTGTTGTTGTTGTTGCTCAGTCGCACAGTCGAGTCCGACTCTTCGCGACCCCACGGACCACATCATGCCAGGCCCTCCTGTCTTCCACCGTCCTCAGGAGTTTGCTTAATTTCATGTTCGTTGCATCTATGACACTGTCTAACCATCTCATCCTTTGCCGTCCCCGTCTTCCTTGACCTTCAATCTTTCCCAGCATCAGGGTCTTCTCCAGGGAGGGCTCCCTTCTCATTTGGTGGCCAAAGTATCTGAGCTTCAGCTTCAATGTCTGGCCTTCCAGGAAACAGTCAGGGTTGATTTCTTTTAGGACTGACTGATTTGATCTCCTTGCAGTCCAAGGGACTCTCAAGAGTCTTCTCCAGCACCATAATTCGAAAGCATCTATTCTTCGGTGCTCGGCCTTCCTTATGTCCAACTCTCACTGCCATACATTACAATTGGGGATACCATTGCTTTGAATATATGGACTTTTGTTGGCAGAGTGATGTCTCTACTTTTTATTATGCTGTCTAGGTTTGCCATCGCTTTCCTCCCAAGGAGCAGGCGTCTTTTAATTTCATGGCTGCAGTCACCATCTGCAGTGATCTTGGATCCCAGGGACATGAAGTCTGACACTGCTTCCACGACTTCCCCTTCTATTTGCCAAGGAATGACGGGGCCGGATGCCATGATATTAGATTTTTTGATGTTGAGTTTCAAGCCAACTTTTGTGCTCTCCTCTTTCACTCTGAGGAAGAGGCTCTTGAGGTCCACTTTCTGCCATTAGAGTGGTATCGTCTGCATATCTGAGGTTGTTGATGTTTTTCCTGGCAATCTTAATTCCGGCTTGTGATTCATCCAGGCCGGCATTTCGCATGATGTACTCTGCATATAAATTAATTAAGCAGGGTGACAATATACATTCTTGTCGTACTCCTTTTCCTATTTTAAACCAATCAGTTGTTCCATGTCTGGTTCTGACTGTTGCTTCTTGGCCCTTATACAGGTTTCTCAGGAGACTTGAGGTGGTTTGGTACCCCCATCTCTTTAAGGACTTGCCACAGTTTGTTGTGATCCACACAATCAAAGGCTTTAGCGTAGTCAAATGTCAGCTATGCTGCCATAAGGGTTGGGGGTGGGGTGCTCGCTTGCCAGGACTGCTGTATTCCTTTTTAGCTTCTGTAATGCTTGCTTATCTATGGCCTTGCAGGTGGTGTGTAGTGTCTCGGATTCTAGGGAACCGTGGGAGCACTTTCGGTTCTCAGCTTTGGCTCTAACAGCCTGGGGCACCTTCTTCCACGCGTGGGAATGTGGTTAATTGGCTTAAGGAAGGGGGGGAATGTTGGCAATTTGATCTCTAGTTCCTCTACCTCTTCAAAACCCAGCTTGTACTTCTGGCAGTTCTCTGTCCATGTACTGCTGAAGCCTAGCTTGTAGGATCTTGAGCATGATCTTCCTAGTGTGTGAAATGAGTGCAATTGTGCGATAGCTTGAAGATTCCTTGGCATTGCCCTTCTTTGGGATTGTAATGTAAACTGACCTTTTCCAATCCTGTGGCCACTGTTGCTTTTTCCAGATTTACTGACATATGGAATGCAGCACCTTAACAGCATCAACTTTTAGGATTTTGGGTAGCTCAGCTGGGATACTGTCATCTTTGCTAGCTTTGTTGTTAGTAATGCTTTCTATGGCCCATTTGACTTCGCACTCCAGGATGTCTGGCTTAAGGTCAGTGATCACACCACTGTGGTTGTCAAAGACATTGAGATCCTTCTTGTATAGTTCTTCTGTGTATTCTTGCCACTTCTTTCTAATCTCTTCTGCTTCTGTTAGGTCCCTACCGTTTTTGTCCTTTATTATGGCCAGCTTTGCATGAAATGTTCCCTTGATTTCTTCCGTTTTCTTGAAGAGATCTCTAGTCCTTCCCATTCTATTGTTTTCCTCTATTACTTTGCATTGTTCATTCAGGAAGGCCTCCTTATCTCTCCTTGCTGTTCTCTGGAAATCCACATTCAGTTGGGTAAATCTTTCCTTTTCACCTTTGTCTTTTGTTGTTCCTTCTTTCCTCTGCTATTTGTAAAGCCTAATCAGACAGCCACTTTGCTTTCTTGCATTTTCTTTTTCTTTGGGATAGTGCTGATTGATGCCTCCTGTACAATGTCACGAACCTCCTTCAGGCACTCTGTCTATCAAATCTAGTCCCTTAAACCTATTCTTCAGCTCCACTGTATATTCATCAGGGATGTGATCTAGGTCAAACCTGGTCTAGTGGTTTTCCCCAACTTTCTTTAGTTTAAGCCTGAATTTTGCAATGAGTAGCTCATGATCTGAGCCACAGTCAGCTCCAGGTCTTGTTTTTATTGACTGTACAGAGCTTCTCCATCTCTGACTGCAAATTATATAACCAATTTGATTTCAATGCTAATAAATAATGGAAAGACATGAATATGTTAATGAATGGGTCTCACTGATGTGGAAAAGGCCTGCCTCCTTGTGGAGCCGCAAAGTACTGGTTATCCAACAAATTCTAATTGTTGCATAATCAATGGCTTCTTAGACAGGCTGCTCCTTGATAGTTTATACCACAAAATTTGTTTATATGCCATCTTTGTCCCATTTTATTGTCCAAAATAACTACCTAAAATATAACACACACAATAAGGATGAGGAAAACCAGCAGACTCAAGTGCCAACCTTAACGTATAACTGACTGATCCATTACATTCTGGAAGGGAGAGAG